AAGCGCATCACATTCCTCCTGACAGACATTGAGTCTGCCACCTTCGAGGATGTCAAGGCCCACCTCCTGGCCCATCGCCGTGACTTCAAGAAGACGCAGGTGACGTCCTATTGGACGAGGAGTGCAGTGGGCTTGAAGCTCCTGTTGGACCCCTGCCGACCGCAGATGTGCACGGTCACCTTCAAGAAGGACTTTCCCAACAAGTGGAACCACACCATGGTTGCGGCGTATGCGGTTGTTCTCAAGCTTGTTTCTTGGTCTCAAATAACCTATATATAGATTGTCGCAATGGAGAATTATCTCCAGGAATGTCCTTCAGTGTTCATTTGTCTTGTTACGGTTTGTGAGTTAGGTGGTCATAGCCTTAGATGTAACAACATCTCTATCGAACTCCTAAATAGATAGGATTGTTTTGGGACAGGGTCTCGTAGTGATTGTATGGTAGGATGTAGATACTAGAACATGTTTGTAGTATATACGAGGATTCGACATGATGTGTGACCACACACGTATGTGTTGCTAATGTTGATTGCCCGGCTACATCTATGTAAATATATATATATATATGTACAGACATGTATGTATGTATGTATATATATATATGTGTGTGTACATATATAGGTGAACATGTTTAGGCAAAGGTACTTCAATTTACATGCACCTGCCGATGTGCAACCTGCCTGCTTGCATGCCTTCAGACCTACCTAGATGCACTGTGCATACACGCATCATAACCTAATATAGATACACACATGCACATGGCACATACACACACATAACTATAAATACCCACGCACTTAACAACCATACCTATATGTGGATGCTTACAGAAGCAAGGATGAACATTTGTCTGTACAATAATCGATTGACCGACTTACTGGTCCACTCTCGTTCAAACATAGACATGTATGTATGTATACTCGATAGAGAAACTGAGCATCCACATATGTACCTTAGAATAGGGGCTAGCATGTGGACGACTTCAACATCCGAGGCTGAGGTGATGGAGCAGAATGACAAGGACCATGCGATCTTCGACCTGAGCCGTGTGGATGATCCGAGGGGCCATTTCCAGACCAACCTCGCTGTGGCCTATGCTAGCGGCCTCGCTGCCCTGAAACAGGTTTTGCTGGAAGACTCCAGCTGAGTTGCAGGACTGGGTGTCCAGGTCTTAGAAGCTCTGACTGTCTTATCGTGTATGTATACTGACAGCATTGCACTACCGGGTACTCGTCTTTTTTTTGACATGCTTTAATGCAGCATGCAAGCCTTATGTGTACATACCCGCCCATGCAGAGCCTTGCCCTGGACCCCACCTGGTGATGCATTCCTTCTTGCCAGGGGCCGGTGCGCAGTAGAGCATGCTCCTTAGATCAGGTAGCTGTGTGTGCATGTGTGCGTCTTTGCACATGTGCTGGAGTGTGATGTGTGCCGTCGGCAAGTGAATGATGCAGGGTGCTGCATGGCTATAGGCTAGCGAAGCCTGGTCGTGCAGAGACGATGATCCAACAAGGGGCCTGTGAAAAGAATGTGCTATGCGCTGCTCCCTACACACCCAGTTGTGATCTTGTGCACCTCTGTGACCGAACATGCTTCCACACGCGGTCTCTGCACAGCTTAGATAAATTCTGCAAGCATGCCATGTGCTGCCCAGGTTTGACATGCCGTCCTTACGGGGCCACCGGAAGTTCGCAAAGCTGGGTGTTCTGAAGGAGCACGAACGTCTGGCTGGCTTGCTTACATGTCCTTCTAGATTGTCAGGTCTTGCGAAACTTCCGTGTCTGTTTCATAGAAATATTGACAGAGCTTTTTGCAGCATACAGAAGCTATAGTGTCGCGAGGGTAAGTTTGCTAACAAGGGACTATCGCATCATAGTTTGGATGTTAAATGTAGGACAGTTTATAGAACATATGATTGGAGTTACAATCGGATCATGCTCGACACCCTCCTCAATGGATCTCCTGAGCTCGATATGCCGAGTGTCAGCATCTGCCAAGAACTCTCGTGTCAGTCCATGTGCATAGTGTTTTCGATCTCCCAAATCCAGTTGAGAGGCCATCCCACCTGAGTTGCAAGTTTCGATGTGCTGGCATCCATGTGGACAGCAGCAGCAGCGGGGTTCAGGATATCAGGCTAGGTTTCCTCCAGGTGTGTATGTCAAGGGTTCAACAATGACAGTTCCAGTTATCAGCCTATATAATTAGATGGGTTATGCCATAATGCCAAACTATTGCATCGGGGTTCTGGTGAGTTTTCTGTCGCACGGGGCTACTCCGGTAATGCCCGGCATGGATCTGGCACCTCTCTTTTATCGCCTACGTGCTTTGGGGGCGCCGAAGGTGACAGGGCTCGACAATGTGTTGTGTGACTCCGCCCTTTCCAGAGCATGTTAAGACTGTAGCTTTCTTGTTTAGGATATTACTGCCAATGTCTCATCCGAGAGCCTCTGTGAGCCTGTATTCTAAAGTATGCTCTTTGGACAAATCAGTTGTAACCAATACACGCCTGATACATCCCCGAGTCGAACTTGGGTGGGAACTCCACGCGCTACTTGAACACTATAGGTAGGCACATCAGCTCATATCAGCTAGCACAGAAAGCCAAGCAAGGACCCTAATTTCGTGCTGCCGATGTACTGTATGTACAATGTAGGCCTCTCGGTCTCCCTTGGTAGATGTCTCTCGAATATCAACCACGGGCAGGTCTAGACTAGCCCTATAAACCCTAAACCCCAAATGGTTGCTCCTTTTTCGGGTCATGGCTTTCGTGTCTAGGGATTTCTAAAGCTTTTCAATCGAACCCCCCCTAGACCTAAACCTTGCAACCCTAGAAGCCCTAAACCCTAAACACCCTAAAAGCCCTAAACCCCTAAACCCTAAAAACCCTAAACCCTTAAATCCTAAACACCCCGTAAACCCCTAAACCCTTCCTAGCCTTACGCCTCGCTTGCCGGCCGAACATGTGCATGTAAAGTACATGTTTCTTTGTGCACATATGTCTATGTATGTATGTATCTATCTATGCATGTATGTATGTATGCATGTATGTATGTATGTACATACGTATGTATTTATGTATGTAATATATGTATGTATGTATGCATGTATGAATGTATGTATTTATGTCAGTCTGTGTGTATGTTTGTATTTATGCTTGTATGTATGTAGGTATGTATGTATCTAGATATGTATGTATGTATGTATGTATGTATGCATGCATGTATGTATGTATGAATGTATGCATGCATATATGCATGTATGTATGATTGTGTGTTTGTATGTATATGTGTGTGTGTGCATGTGTGAACGGGGATATAATATAACATATTATATTATAGTATGAACTAATAATAACCAATACAATATAACAGAATAGAATGGAATATGATACAATATAATCTAATATAATATATAATATAATACATATGATATATTAAAATATACCAGATTAGACTATAATATAAGAATAGAATGGAACATAATATATATATATATACACAGATATATATATATGTAAGATTATATACCCATGTACTTAGGTGCTTACGCAACTGCACAGGTATATGTGTATGCGTGTATGTTCATATATATTCGCACGAATGGATATCTTATTTTATCTTAACCTATATTGATCTATGGAGCTGTGGGTATTGAAACATAGGTGACTACAGGTTCATACACATAGACATTATATGTTGATACACCTACAAATGCATCGATGTGTATTTTCACCTACGCATGTATATGTGAACATGTGTGTATAGACATACACACAAAAGTATATACAGCGAGACATATGTGAATACCCAAGACCAAGGTTCTTCTCCTCACCATCCTGTTGCTTTCATGGACGGAGTGGCACGATGCAGCTCTGCAGGCAAGTGCCCAGGGACGGACTTGAGATTGCTTTAGGGGCTTCGGTTTATTCAGTGGGAAAGGAGAGGATCCTCTACATTCCTATAGGTCCAGCTAGAGAATGTCGCTGAAATGGTTACTTGGGGTCCAAGCTTCAGAGGTCAGGACTGTTTAAGAATTTGTAGGATGCCTCGTGTAGTGGTCAACTCCACTAGACTGAGAGTGTGTGAATACTTGGTTCTTTTCGGGTTTAGGGTTTAGGGTTTATTCTGATCCAGGGTGCACATGCCATGCTCAGAAGTCTGGTATGTTCTGACTCTGTAATGCATGCTAATGATGCATTGTGTTTAAGAGTTGCCTGTATGTACAAGCTGTGCTGTTGTCTGTATGCGACTATAACCCTGCAATGAACTGCCCTATCATGCATAGCTGTACCGGGAACTTCCATGCATAATCGGACTGCCAAGAATAGTTCTTCTGGACATGTGTATGTACGTGTGTTATGCATGCCTTTTGTAAGACCCATCTATAGGTGTGTAGACTGGACATACACAGCTCATGCATGGTGTCTAGATAGACCGAGATATGTGTGCACACTCTCGACATGTCGACTTGTCTGCAGCTGGCGGCGAGTAGCTCGCAGAAGCTGTCAATTTCGCCAGGGTGCAGCGATCGATGGTCTTTCAGCCTGGGGTATTGGATGCTTGCAGTGGGTGCTGTGCTGGTTTGTCGTAGGGTTGCTGGCAAGTCCTAGGTAGAGGTCTGGGGTCCCAGGAATCAGCTTCTGTGCCTACATACACGTCTAGGCCGTTGCTATAAAGACGTAGCATGGAGCTATCCTGGTATTGAGGGATCTGACATAGAGAACCCTGGACCTGGACTTTATAAGCAGCAGTCACTTTCACCTTCACTCCAGCACCCTCGGTATTCCTAGCCGTTCTAGCCGTAGTGAGCCTAGTACTGATTTCCTACGGCCAGGTCTGCTTATTCCGATATGTAGTTGTATGTAAGAAAGGTATCTAGACATACCCTAAGACTGGAGACTTCCTTGTGAATCCTGTTCTAGAGACAAGAAGCAAATTGTCGTATACAATACTGCGACGTGTCTCGTGCTCCAGGACAGCGGCTCTTACAGCTTTATCGAGATGTTTGCGGGCAAGGCTGAAGCAACACGGATGATGAGGTACGCGGGGCATTGTGCGGCCAAGCTAGATTACAAGTATCATGTGGCATCTCCTGGAAAGCAAAACTACATGGATATCTTGACGCCAGCAGGGTTCCTGCACCTCGGTCTTCTTATGTAAAGCAGCAGGAGTGATGCATGCAAGTTTGTAAAATCGAGCTCCACTCGTCAGACACTACCCAATCTAAGACTGTATACTGAATTTGTAAAATGGAAAAAAAAGAAACCTTCACATTCTGTCAAACGGCACATCCCAGGCTGGCAGTGTCCACTGTGCTCCGTGGAGATCCTCGAGGATTCTGGTGCCATTTTGGCATCAAATGTGGCAGCTGGAGTCAGGTCAGTCAAGGGACATCAGGAAGGTCGGTGTTTACAGCTTTGGGAAATGAGGATCAGACTTTCGTTCGTGAAGGTAACTGTATGGCCGCACGGACGCTTTGAAGCATTAGACAACTGCATATGGCTGCATATGAGTCGACGACTAAATCAAGCGGTGCATCAGCTGATAGCGGAAGCCAGTTGTTCCGCAGTGCTCAGTGTTGCATGTATGTTAGCCGATACCCCTGCTAGCATCCTTGCCACTTTGCTTATCCAGCACCAGTCGTGATCGAGTACTCAACCGACTCAACCCAGGATGAGTCTCTTGCTGCTTCTGGTGACAGCCCTCAAAGGGGCGTGGTCAGTTGAGCAGCCAAGCGGCAGCTTCCTGGAGTACTTCCCGCGCTTCCGCTCTGTGATGCAAGCATTGGGTGAAGGTGCAGTGCCTCGGCTTGGCTAGACTCGCACATTTGAAAGTCAATTAGATTTGACGGCTGATGCTAATTACTCAAGGCTCGGGTTTCTTTCTAGAAGATTTCGGGCTGTCTGCTTCGGGGTTATCTTGCTTTGTCTTCGCTACACAAGGTAGCTTCATAGTCATGCTTGTGAGTGGGGGTGGGTGCTGGGTCTTATAGGGACGGATGTCGATCTACCCAGTGTATATATATACATATATATATATATACATACATATATGGGCTAGGTCGTCACACTGTTCAGCCCTTTGCTCAACTAATGATTCAGTATGTTAAGTACATATACTTGATCGTGTGCCTACTGTCTCCGAGAAGACTGTATAGAACCAGCTGCGGGAACCCCCCCCCCCTATATAATGGGAATAGACAGCCTAGTGTATGCATGTTTCCAGTGAGCTTAGGGTTTATATAGGGCTTAGGGTTCAGGGTATATAGGGCTTATCTAGGGTTCAGGATATATTGGGCTTATTGGGTTTAGAGTCTTAGGGTTTTAGGGTCTATAGGGCTTATATAGGGTTTGTAGGGCTTATCAGGTTTAGGGATTGGGGTTCATGCAGGTTTGAGGGTTGAAGATTTAAGGTACACAAACCTACTTGTTGTAGGGTCCCTCTACAGTCTATAGATCTGGGTTCTTAGATGAAGAAGAAAAGGAAAGAAGTAGGTTGCAATCCAAAACCCAAGCCCTGCACCCCAAGCTCCCTTCTCCTCCCCTAGAACCCCTCATCCCATTCTAGTCCGAAGCAAAAAGTGCTGCTCTAGGCACACCATCTACTTGTTAAGCTTGTGTTCTGACAGTACGGCCTAGCTTTGCTATGCAGGATAATGCTGTGTTATGTACCTCTGCATCATTGTTGCTGATGACCTAATACAGATCCACCGGAACACACAATAAGGTGCTCGACATCCTCTGCACTTGAGTCACTAGAAGCCCCTGGAGTGTGGATGTTCGGATGTACATGAGCCCCCGGGATCCTAAATGAAATAGTGCCTTATAGAGCTGTATCGGGCCAGGGTTCAGGGTTTAGGTTTCCTGCGCTTTCAGGACTTGTCAGGATTTGTCAGGTTTATCAGTGTATAGGTTTTTAGGGCTGTGTAATACTGTAGACAGTCCTCTAAAAAATAATATGAATTTTATGTATGTCTATCTATACATACATACATACATACATACATACATACATATGTATATATATATATATGTATGGCCTATGAAAGGTGGCGAAGTTTGACAGGATTGTATAGTATAAGGGTGTTATCAGGATTATGTAACGCTGGTTTAGGAGGCTTGGTAAAAATGTTGGAAGGCTGGTATGGAACGAACTACTTTCAATACAACACCATAAGAAGGCACTCCTTGTGACCCTTACTCAAATCGTCATATCACGGTTTGGTTTTAGCTAGGATTCCAATCCCTTCCGTTACAAGCCCAAAGCATTAATGTTGGTAAATTTGTTGGTGGAATCAAATTTCAGGTTCTTCTCACCTAGCTACTTTCTGTCCAGGCTCGGAGGTAGCGTTTGCGAAGTGCAAGCCAAAGTTTGCTGAAGCCTTCAATTAGCACGTCTTAAAATTCATGCGAGTCTCAGGGAAGCGCCCACTGGAATGTCCCCCCAGTAGAAAACCACTCCAAACTGTCGAATCCCATTAAACATGTTCCTCGTGAGCCCTGACACTTCGAGCCATCCCCTAATGTATCTAATGTTATGTGTGAGGCCTGAAATCTGTTCTGCGGTCTCCAGTATCCTCCTGTAGCCATGTCTTGAAATTGCAATGGTTTGAATGTATAGCTGGATGGACACACAGGCTAGATAGTTGAAAGCACCATAGGATTCGTGTTGGTCCGAAGCTACTGAAGGGTCTCAGGCAATGTAGATGGATACATAGTGCAAGTTATGTAGCCTCGAGTGCTTTGTGGCCACGCCACATATGAGCTTCAAACTGCAATAACTTATGGAAGATGTATAGCTTTCGGGATGGCAGGGCTTGAACTTGAGACAGCATCCATATTACACGGGGGACCCTGCTAGTACTGGTTTTATGTTGCGAACCCGAGAAACAGGCATACTGTGGCAATCATCCTCACTTTGCTGGCTACCCAATCACGCATTGCATAGTGTCGCGAATCTGCCCAGAAGCAGCTGAAGGAGGTGCCACTGGGCCACACAGACTTGGCGATGTCGGACGGCTCATGTGTACATCCATCCATCCTGCCGAAGTGGTTCGATCTAGCTTTGTTTTTATTGGCTAGTGGGCTCTGTTGAGACAGTACCTACACCAAGGTCGGCATGAGCTTGTGTTGCATCTGTTCAGAAGCTAGGTGGTGTAGAATATATAGTTCTGCACTGCATGTTTCTGTATGGGCACCGAAATGTCGCGAGCTCCAGGAACCAGACAGTGTTCACCGTGCATAGACACCTCTGCTATCTGCGATCATAGCATGCCGGCACATGGTGGACATGAGGTGATCGTGTGTTGGTTTTGGGTGGCAATGTACGTTCTCCGATGTGCTTCTCTGGGTGTCTAATGGATGTGTACCTCTCTTAATTGGATGACACCATGTATATATAGCCCCCAACACTGACCTGCCAAGGTTTCCAAAGTGACCTGGCACATGTGGCACTATGGAGCTCCTACGCCAAAGCCGCACTGGGCGTTTGCCAATGCGAGTGCCGTAAACCAGCTCTACAAGGGGCCGCTTCGGGATTGGCAGGGCTATTGCAAGAATCACCCAGACAGAGTTCGTACAAGCCGCCGCTATGTAGACAAGCGGGGTGTCAAGCGGTACCACGGCAACAAGAACCTGAAGTCGACAGAGTAGGGTCCTCAGAAACATTTTAGTCAGGTGTTATATCTCTATATAGTCATTGTACATCAATCAGACTCCGACGAGAGTCGGAGTGATCGACTACTTAGTTCAGAACGATGTATACACGTATATAGGGTTGGATTGGGATGCTGAGGTCTAGAGTAGGGTCCCTATCTAGGGATTTTATAACGTCTCTTTACAAGCCCTGTAGGGTTCAACCTATCTCAAAGCAGCCCCAATCAGCCCAACAACCCTTATACTGTGACACTTAAGTACATCATGGTCGGACACCTAGGCTTGAAACTTGTCGTGCCCTCGCAAGCATCAACAAATCCCACCTCGAATGTATCCTTGTCACCATGTAACAGCTTCTCACCTCATCCCTCAGGAACTATCCGCCACAATTCGGCTTGCGCCTCGTGGAGCTCCACGACCAGGTGCTCGCGACGCAGCGAGGCACACCTGAGCTGCCGAAGGATTTGCCCACGGCTGTGGATACCTTCAGTATGATGAGTTTCGATGACTTGTGGGAAGATGCGAACATGGTAGAGTGCATCCGATACATTCGTGGGGGTACCTCTTTACGAATCCCGGAGAACTTCCGTCCTTTGCTGCCTACGAGACTTTGAGCTGTGCTCAGCCCTAGAGCATGTGCACAGTGCTTGTTGTTTGTAGAGTGTAGATTGTGCTACACCTAATTAAGGCAACGGAGCTGGGCTCTTGATTTACACTGATGGGATCCGGTTAGTCTATAGGGTTGCTAGAGGTGAGTCAATTCCCTTATCCCGTGACTATGTAGCACTTGATAGCCTTCCTGTTCGACCTGCAAGTAGCCCGGTCTGCTCCAAGCCGTTCCTCTCGTACAATACAATTAGAAGAGGATTCCTGGTGCCCAGTGTTTCCAACTGCAATTCTGCTGTCTATGTTACACTACAATACAGTTATCATAGGTTTTAAGATACTAGGGAGAGAAATAACCCGGTAATACCCGTAACCTACCCGTAAACACCCGTAATCTACCCGTAAACGCCCGTAACCGCATTAAGAGAAACCCGGTTTTTTTTAACCCGTATTTTCTCTGCCCGTATTTTAACCGTAACCTACCCGTAAAAAGGCGTAACCAACCCGAAAAATTTTATGGGTTATTTTGGTGCTACATCATGCAAACTAAGACAAACTTTTGCTAGGTTTGAACCACTGATGCTGGGGTGTGTTGCTACATGTTCCATATCCAAGCTAAGTGGGTCCTTTGGTGTTGGAATCGAAGCCTAAGCCTCTTTGGTATGTTCCTTAATGTTTACATTAACTACTGATATGGTAGATCCTGTTCCTGTACCGATAGCATAAACTAACACCAGAGTAGATCATCTTCCTGACAGATCTCACCATGTACCCACTGAGTAGATACGGCTCCTGAACAGTGTAGCATTGCACTTATGCAGTTGGAAACAAGTCCGTGCATGTTGCACCAGTCACTATAAAGAGTTTACATAAGTTCCTCGGTGTTAAAAGTGACCCGGCCCTCTGGTGGGATTGTTCCACCGCAACGGCATGCAGCATGCCACTATTTGAGACCAGCAGCAGCTGAATGTCGCCACGCAATGACTTGTCCTGCAATGTTGTGTGGCCACACATAGCTTTTGAGCTCGTGCACTGCTTGTTGTGCCCTGTGCTACCCCTAGGGTTCCCACGCTCTGTCGAGATGGGCAAAGCGGGAGCCGATAGCAGGCTTGCTTCCAGGATGTGGAGCTGCTCTGAGCTTCAAGCAGGCATGCGACAGGTGATGGCGGAAGGGAGTGATCCTGAGGAGCTTCGTCAGCTGGAGGTCGGGGCTCTATATTGGCTTCACACATTTAATTGTGCTGTGGTCTTCGGTTTCGATTCTTGTCCCCGCTCGGCCTGCCCTTGGGTCCTTCAATCGATCCAGGCTCTGGATGCTGAGCTCGCGGAACTAGAGCTGCAGGCCATATGAAGTCCCACCTTGGTTGTTGTGTACTCATGCACTATACATACTTCACTAAATAAACATCTGCTGCAAATCCCCTGCTGTCTGGGCAGGAAAAGCAGCTGGTGCAATCTGCTGATACCCAGCCGGCCCTTTGTCTTCAGGTACACATTTAGTGAGTGTAACATGTCTCCACCTACTCTTCATGTACCGTGTTGCACATTATACACGTGTTTGTATAGTGATGCACAATGCACATACATGCATTGACTAGCAGTCAAGGCCACTGAGCTCGACCTCAAGGAGTTCGAGAAGCCCGATGCTAGCACGGCCACCCCTCCCCGCTCGAACTCACCGTCTTCCCTGGCTACGAGTGCCCAGAGCCAGGACCTTTAAGCACAGCTAGCCGCATGCACTCTATCCTGGGAGATCCCTGCATGGGCTTTAATTTGCTTGGATCTTACAAATAATGTGTGCAAGGAGCTGGCAGAGCTCGAGACACGTGTGAGGAAGATGGTCATCAGTGGCAGCATGAGCCTGGACACTGCTAGCGCAGTCTTGGGCTACCGGATCACAGGCTGCAGTCCAGAAAAGAAGAAGGCCCGCACTGAGAACACCAAACCTGAGCCCACCCACGACCACGACGACACAGAGGCTGGCATGGATGGCCTGAGTGACCGAGGGCCCCCGAATGACTGTCCCCCCGAGGCCAGGTGATGCTGTGTCCTAGCCTGCATGCTTCTGACTTGTCTGCTGTATGCCTGATCTGTGCAACAACCAGCATCCATATGGAATAGCGAACACACAGGAGGAGAGCGAAGCCGAGGAGAAGGATGAGCAGGAAAAGGAGGAGAAAGTGGAGTACACCGCCGACGGTGTGCGTAGGAAGACCCGGGCAGCGAGGAACGCGAAGCTTCGCCGACTTCGCCAGCGCCGCAAGAACGGGACGCTGGCTGTGCCCCCTTGGTTGCATGAACTGTGGAAGGCCGGAAACCACTCTGCCCTTTCCCTGCAGTACGAGGACGCTGGCTACGACAAGGACCGATTGTTGCACGGTCCAGGTGGCTCTGAATCAATTAAGTAATTCTCTGGGCTTTCTTGAGAGTAAGTTGGGCAAACAAGTCCATGTCAGCTACATAGACCGAAAACATACCTCCATGTGAGATCTATATAGTGCCCAGGTGTATATGTATGTATGTATGTATATATATATATAGTGTATAGTGTCTCTTTGTTTCTAGGTCTTTATGCACATTATACCTAGTGGTGCTAGGATGCAGTACATGTTAAATAGCCTGTCTCACGATCCTAGTGATGGCAAATGTTAACTCCTGGCCCATCGGACAAAGGCCTGAGGAACGGCAACCGTCACGAACATCCCCGCAGGACAGATTCATGACCTCGGTGCAGAACAGCATCAACAAGCGCGACAAGAAGACATGCTCCGTCGAGGAGGGATGGTACTCAAAGGA